AAAAAAAAAAAAAAAACAGCCGCATGGTTGGGCCACGACCGAGATGTCACGGCCACACCCCAGACTGGGCACGGCCGAGATGTCTCGGCCGCACCCCAGACTGGCCACGGCCGAGATGTCTTGGCCACACCCCAGATTGGCCAGGGCCGAGATGTCTCGGCCACAACAGAGATTCGCGGGCACTACCCTTCACAGGCAAACGCGAAGTCTCAAGAGTAGCCTACTCCGAAAAGTGGGGGCCTCGGGGAGGGATGGAGGCCAAAAAAAGAAAAAAGAAAAAAAAGAAATAAAAAAGTAAAGAAATGAGGAACTTCGAATCCACCTACGTCGGGAAGGCCATCAGGTCACCAGTGCTTGGACGAATGTATCTGGCCAGGAAGTGAGGAACATGAAACAGGTCGTTTTACTTTTTTGTTTTTTGTTGTGAGGTCCCTGTAGCGCCCTGCCAGCCAGGCAGGGCGGATTCCATGCTTCATTGAGTTTTAGACAAGTACTGTGGCATCCTGTATCGGACCGCAATCACAGCATAAGGGATGTTTTTTTTTTTTTTTTTTAAGATGGTTCAGGATGACCAAGACAAAGCCAGCCAAATTGGCCTCGCTGCAATGGCAGCTAGAACACCGCTGTCTTCCAACAAATAATTGGTTGATAGATAGAACATCCCTGGAGCAAAGGGGGCAAGCTCTCCCATGGTGCAGGTTGTGCACAAATGCGTTCCCTTCCCGGAAACGGCCTGAAACAATTGAACATATATTCCTTCAATGTCCCGGAGCACTCTGGCTGTGGAGATGGTGGGACAGAGTGTGGGGACAACTAGGAACAAAGGCCCAGTGGCCTTGGGATTGGAAAGCCTTATTGTGCGAAGTCTGGCCCAAGGCCTTGATAGACCAGACTGACGAATTCACTGGAAATATGTTTAGAATGGGACGCATGGCGACACTCTGGGCACTTTGGAGACGATGCTGCACCTTTGAGATGGAGGGGGCGAGATTGGAAGGACCTGATTTTACCGAAAGCGTTCAGCAACAGCTCCAGACAGAAATAACTGCAAAATGGAATGGAGTCAGAGCACAAATTCAATTCCTAGACAGACGTAAAAACATCAAACTTTTGCTTGTGACTACGAATGCACTTGGACGCCGTTACTTGCACGATTCATTGAGGTGGTCACCATTGAACATGGAGGAATACGGGCCGTTTCCGTGTCGAATAGGGGTGTGTACGTGGGCCTCACACAGCAGGTACGTAGTTCTCAGTCTTTCTTTGCACTCCCTTGTACATGGACGCGTTCGTGGGCGGAATACAGGTAGTAATGATCTTGTACGCCGAGGGGCAAATGTGGTGCTTCCCGAGTCTTTTTACACCGCCTGCATGGGCCACCATTGTGCATGCAGGCAAACAAAGACACACAAACACACACACACACACACACACACACACACACACACACACACACATACACACACACACACACACACACACATACACACACACACACACACACACACACACATAAGTACCTGCACAAACAACCAAACACAAAATTGGTAAACATCACACGTACAAGCACCACTAACACACCTACCAACATTGTTATTACAACCTACTGCATACTACCATTGACACAATAAACAAAGTTAAAAAAAAATAAAAATTGTATATCACTGCAGACAAAAATATAACCCCCTCTGCACTACCATTAAGCAGGAAAGGTCGTGTAAAATGAAAGATATTAAAAAAAAACGCACAATGAACCCACGACCTTACTACAGAATAAACAGAAACCACCTTCCCGCCCACCATCCCCAAGCTCGCACCCCCAATGAAAGAAAGCACACCCACACACGAGCAATTTGACGTACGCAAGCAAGAACCAAGAACCAAAGATCTAAAACCAAAATAAAAAAACAAAAAAAGAGGCCACACGCACTGAGAACAAAAAAACAAGAAACAAAACGACAAAACACATATACAGACAAAAATACCAGAACAATACCCACATATGACCTGCAGACACAAAAATACAACCCTCTCTGCACTACTAAAACATGAAAATAGACCCACACAACCAACCCCGGACCCCATATCAAAATAAACAAAGTCCACCTTCCCGTCCACCATCCCCAATCTCCCACCCCCAATGCAAGAAGGCACACCCACACACGAGCAATGCGGCGTACGATAGCAAGTACCAAGAACTCAAGAACAAAAAACAAAAAACAAAAAATAGGCCACACGTTCTGAGAACAAAAAACAAGAACAAAAACGACAAAACACATACGCCCACATATGACCTGCAGACACAAAAATACAACCCTATGTGCACTACCAGTAAATATGAAAATAGACCCACACAACCAACCCGGGACCTAACATCAAAATAAACAGAGTCCACCTTCCCGCCCACCATCCCCAAACTCCCACCCCCAACGCAAGAAGGCACACCCACACACGAGCAATGCGGCGTACGCTAGCAGGAACCAACAACTCAAGAACAAAAAA